GTATTACTTGCGCAATGAATCCACCCAGCTCCTTTTCAGTGCACTCAATAATTAAATGGGTGGCAGATTGATTGCTTACAAACTACTGATTACTCCAAGGAGTTTGAGTTGTGATTCACTGGACAACTAGCATTTCATTAGCGCGACGTTTACTACTTAATTTAGCTTCAGCTAAATGGAAAATGCAGTCATTCGATTGAATGCAGATTCTACGTTCATGAAAAGGCAAGCCTAATCAAATCAGCATGGCGTGAATTTAGAGTCTTATAATAATTATGCCAGTGCGTTCTTAAAACCGTAATTTGTTACCATTTTTCAGGGAATTGCTGTAGCTGCTTTTCTTTCAGAGACCGTATCATAAGATTGTTGTTAACACTGCATATTGTTAATATCTATTTCGACCATCCGATGCTGTTAATTGGCAAAATCGCCCATGTTTTTGGCAGACGGAGTTCCATGTTTATAAGTAGTTGGAATTATGACAGGCCTCGTACTATACCTCATTTCACACACTTTTCACGTCGTTATAAGAAATTTTGTCCAAAGCTGTGCTGATATTCCACTTGAGGTTCATATTGTCAAAAGATTGCCAGTAGATTGTAGTTGACTTAATTTTTGCCATTACTTACCGCAATCTTCGAAGGTGCATTGCAGACAACATAGAGCTTAAAATTGACCATGACATTCTGCTTCATCGATGGAATAAAACACATCAGGTTTGGCGAAGACAACACTGCGTCCGCAGGTAATACAGTCTGTTTATCATCCGAGTTTCGTTTTTTAAATATGGTCTCTGCTAGGTTCGTTAATGATCTGACTTAATGATATTAGTGTCATGTCAACGCTTCATACTTTAGCAAAATTCTGAGGTGATCAGTTTCTGAAGAATGTCTTAATCCATGATTTATGTTTGACCTCCAGAGAGCACTCAGTGATGCTGCTTAGAATACCTCTTCATTGATCCAGATGCGGTGAGTGAGTGGTAGATAGGCAGAGATTTATACTTCAATTCTCACAAAGTATTGCCTCACAGTTTGCCACGATTCTGTTTGGTGTGTGTTTAGATCATCACCTTTAGGCGTTTGCATTGGCAGAACGTCTCTGGTTTTTTGTTTCCCCTGTATCGACAGTTTCCAGCACATTTGCTATGAGGCATCGGTCACTGATATTTTAAAGGAAGTATCCCTCTGATAACATACCAGCCTCTAATTTACTGTTTCATTTCCATTCTGGCCTCCTGGTCGACCACTGTCGACATCTTTTTTCAGTCAGTAGGATTTTTTTCCAAACACTTGACATTAAACACGTATATGTAGACCATTACAAAATCATATATCGTACAAATTTTATTCGATGTTGACATGGTCATGCTTTCTTCAGTTGTAGTATTCGTAGCATATGAAGGAAGTAAATTTTCCAAGAACAGA